AAATAATATTTTTGATTTAATCTCCTGAGCAGATTTATGGACTAGATATTGAATGCAAAGTCTGTGTTCTGTGTTTATTTCTTTTAGTGCAATGCTGGACCTGCTGCCTTCTGGCTCCTCAGCTTCCTGCTTACTCACCCTGAGGCTATGGAGGCTGTTAAGTCAGAGATCAGAGACCTTCTTTCTCTCCAGGATACTTCCCTCCAGCGACACCACTTGAACTGGGTGGAAGGAGCGAGCACACCTGTATTTGGTACACGACTATGGTCTAACTGCCTCTTATAGTTTAAATGTGCTCTGCCACTCTTGGTGGTAACCATCTACCCAGGGTGGACAAAATTGTTCTTTGACTTTTTTGAAAAAGCATGCAATGTTTGACCAATTAAATCAGAATAACCTCAATTTCATGTTATTTTATTGTTGTAAATGTTTGTGCCTTTCTAGACACTGCCTAAAGGCACTTGCTGATTTAACCAGTGGTGACAACCCTCTGACATCATCCCCTTCTGTGTCTTTTCCACTCTGTAGATAGCATTTTGAATGAGACCTTACGGCTCACCACTTCAGTATCGATCCGAAGAGAAGTTGTTCAAGACAAGATCCTTCGAATGGCCAATGGAAAGGAGTACCGCCTGAGACGTGGGGATAGAGTGTTACTGTTTCCTTTTCTCAGCCCTCAAATGGACCCAGAGATTTACGAAGAGCCAGAGGTACTTAACATGCGGATACAGAGGTTCATTTGGTTCTAAGCTCTGAGGGAGCTGCAGAGGTTTACATTTCAGGTGTGAAAAAAATCTGTTGAAAGGACAGCTACTAGTTGTGCAAACCTCTAGTACAGGTATGCTCAAAGTCTGGCAAGTAGCAAGCTTTTAAAAGACAATAGATCAAATTTGCTATGTTCTATAAGCCATGTAGGAGATTCTGGTCAGATCAGATCCAAATGTTACTTTGAGCCAACATGCAAAATGATATATGTGGAGAAAAAACACCCTAAACAACCTTTTGTCATGGTGGAACATGGTGGTGGACATATTTTGGTGTGGGTGAAGCTTGCCTCTGGAAGGGACACAGACACTGGATTCGGATGGAGATAAATTGAAGGCAATCCTGAAGAAAACCAATTTGACAATGTAGAAGACTTGAAACTTCGGTGGAGATTTATATCCAGTAGGACACTGACTTTAAACATTTAGCCAGAGCAACAATACTATGGTGTAGGTTAAACATTTTCAATTCAATTTAGTTTAATAATCCTTTACCAATTTCAAAGGGAAATTCAGTTCTTTTTAACTTGTGAAATACTAAACTAAATTCAACATTAAATCTGTGAAAAGAACTGATGATAAATGCTTAAAGACGATTTCCATCCAGTCGGACTTTTTGATATTTCTACTGTGCAAAATGTTAAGTCTCTAAATGTACACACCTGGCATAAACATACCAAGAAAGAATCTCCGCTTCAGTTGGAGCAGATAGCCGCTCCACAATGTGCCAACCAAGGTGGCTTGAAGACACATGCATGAAAACTGTGTATCATTCTCTTTCTATGTTACAGAACTATTATGTCCTGATCCATCTTATAAAGTCCTAATAAACAACAGGTTATTAGCTTTAATGTAACAAATTACGAAAGATATCATATTTTTGCGAAGCACAGTATGACATCGGAAAAGCAGTAAATAAGATGATTTATCTTTGTTAATTCTGCTTGTCTTTATTGGTTAATCATAAGTGTAGATTATTTTTAACAGATGGTGTAGTGGAGGAAATGCATAATAGGACCTTTTGCATCACATAATTTATGCACATCTGTTTCATTCTCATTTCTCTCACAGATGTTCAAGCATGATCGCTTCCTAAATAAAGATAAAACGGTGAAGAAAGAATTTTTCAAGGATGGAAAACAGCTGAAGGACTACATCTTACCCTGGGGCGCAGGGAAGAGCATCTGCGTTGGGAGAAAGTTTGCTGTTACAACCATTAAACAGTAAGTTTACAGATACAAAGCCTTTTAATGCCATTCTTCTTTCATCTTATTGTTTCGGGGGAAAAAATGCACATATGATCACAGCATTTCATGCAAACACCAAACCATTAAACATATAAGTAATTTTCCTCATTATAATTTTAATCATTATTTCATTTTAGCATATTTGTAATTGCTTATACTCAATAGTGATCTGAAAGCTGTAAGACCATTTCTATAAAGGTCAAACTGTATAATCAATGCATGAAAGTATATTTTCATTACATTGCATTTTGTTTTTTCCAAATGTTCACCAAGTTTGAAGTGTTAAGATATTTAATACTTGCCCTACAGATTCGTGTTCCTGCTTTTGACCCATTTTGATCTGGAGCTGTGCAACCCAGACACCAAAGTTCCTCCATTTAATCAAAGTCGCTTTGGGTTCGGGATGCTGCAACCAGATGGCGATCTGCAGGTCAGATTCAGACTCAAGAGGACACAGCCTGAGATTTGAGATGTTGAAATACCTAACTAAAGTTACATCTTGAATGAAATATTTCTTAAAAATATTTTTTGTATAATGTAATATTGCACTATTTATTTTTTTTTCATACCTAATCTGTTTGACACTAATTGTATTTAAGTTTGTTGTGTGTTCATTTTTTTTTTGTAATAAAGGGTGAAAAGTCATTTCAACCTCTTGTTTCTTTCATCAAATAGCAAGTTATGACTCTATAGTGTGGTGGTGGAAACACAGCTGTCCAGTTGATGTTCTTAAGTTGCTTATCTTTTAAATGTGAGACTGTTTTCTTTTACATAATGAAAATGCAGCTAAAACAAATAGAAGTATTTTCTTTTGCATATTTTTTTCTTGTTTTTACATTTCTAAGGGTCTTCTCTAAGAATGGTCAGTCTTCATTTTTCTCTAAATTCTGAAATGTGTGTCTGTACATTATGGGTTCATCTCCAACAGAAAAATGTCATTATTGTTACCTCATAACAATAAAGACTCTTGATTCTTGATTATGTTTCAAAATAGTCTAACTTTTGCCTTAAACATTTCCACATCTGATGTGGATTGATGTTTATGTTACATCAGCAATGATTTACTGTAAATATATAGTATATAATAATGTTGTGTATTTCTGTTATATTTTTGTATAGATATTACTATTTAGTAATTTATTCTTAAACTTAGCCTTGATTATTGAGATTACTTCTCTTGAATGACTTTTAAAATCCACAATTTGTGTTTGCACTGTTCTGCATTTAAACCAAGCGTGCCTTTTTTCATTTATGAAGGGATCTTTGGAATTTGGATTAAAAAATCCATCCATATAGTATATTAAGTTGTGCTGATGTTTTCAGTCAATTTCCAGTTACTTTTTTGCTCAGTTACTTATAGCACTTATAAGTAGGGCTTTTAGTTGCTTTATTTGGTAGTGCAACACTGCTAAACATATTAGCTCAAAACAACCCCTGTGTATATACAGAAAGCAGTGGTAGCATATGTAATTTATTTCTTATAACTTCATCTGGAAATGGGTTTGTTGTCTCGGAATTATCATCTTGGAATGGTGCCACATGTCTATTTAGCTCACCTTCTTCTCAAGCCAGAAATCCAGTGGAATCTTTAAATAGCCCCAATGAGAACTACAATATGTGGTGCAATAGCAATTTATTTCTCTCAAACAAAGGGATAATTTATGAATAGACATTGCCATATAAAGAGGATGGGACATAAGTATCTGTAGCAGGCATCCCCAAAGTCAGTCCTCAAGCACCACTGTCCTTCAGGTTGTAGAGGTTTCCCTGCTCCAGCACAGCTTATTTTAATTGAAAGCTGATTAACAGGCTATTGCTCAACTGCAATAATCATAATCAGCTGTGGTAAAGCAGGGAAACCTCTAAAACCTGCAGGACAGCGGCCCTCGAGGACCAACTTTGGGGATGCCTGATCTATAGTATTGGATATGATACGCAGGTCTGCTCTGATACCTCCACAGTTCCTCCTCTAACTTGATTTGGAGGCAATCTTGTTGAAGAAAGGGAACTTGAAAAACCTGACTTGCAAGTACAAATAAATTCACCATTCCACTATTGCACCCCACTATGCCCATCTATCCTTTTGGTTTATATACATTTTGATCCTTGCATATTCAATGTGCTATAATTGTTATTGCCAAGGTTCATTGATGAAGAGGGTGGATGCATCTTGACAAGTTTGCAGTCCATAACAGGCAAGGGTTATTCAGAAACCTGTTAAACTAATTTGCTGAATTTTGGACTTTGGAAGAGAAACCAGGCAAGCTGTAAAGAACACATCCATATCCATAGAGGACATAGATACACCAAACTGAAAGGAACCAGGTAGGATTTTACCCAAAGGACCTAAAGTTTTTGAGGCAACAGTGAGAAATTGTACAGCTCTAAGCTCAAAAGAGTAAGGTTTAGTAACCAACAGAAAAAAAACAACAACCAAGAAACTCAAGAAAACCAGGACATAACAATAAAGTAGCTAACAAAATTTTATTTTAATGTTTACATAAATGCTTAAGTTAGCTCTGCACTACAGTGTTTAAATCCAGACAGAGCAGCAAGAGGTGAGATATAAAAAAAAAAAATGTCTCTCACAGCTGTATCAAAAAAAAAAATGTTAATTGCAGTTCTATTTTTACCATGTAACAAAAATTATGGTGGGTAATTAAACCAGTGAAACGTCTTTAAAATTGGAAACAGCCCAGTGGGACTTTTTTTTTTGGAATATCCTTGTGTGAGTACAAGGCTATTCTATTCTATTCTATTGGATGGTATCTACTACTCACAGCCATATTACTTTTGTTTTGGTTTAAAAAGCCTTTTTTATTTAGTCAGTTTTTCTTAGTTTCATATTAGAATTAGATCAGTCTGATCTGAAACATCTGAATCTGTAAAACAGCAAAATCAGAAGAAATCTGGTGACTACTCATCCAGCCCAGCCTTGGATTGAGCAGCAGTGCATTCTCAATGATTGAGGACTCGGAGAAGGAAGAGTTAAACAGATGTGGAGAAGAGCTCGGAGCTGCCATGGATCCACCTTCACAGAGATGCGGTGCCTTCTCGCACAGCTGACTGGGAACACAGGTATTCCGTGTGAAGGAAGGGGGCTGTGTGTCGGCGTACTTGTTGATCTCCGGGCGCAAACAGCGCGGTGCGACATGCGGTCCGGGAAGCCGCCGGTTTGCGGTTCGAGTCGTGCTGAGGATCTTTCCTTGCCATGTCGGAGAGAGAGGACGAGGAGACGGGTTAAACCCTGACATTTGTAAACCAATATCGACGCCTCCTTTTTTTCTTTTTTGGCTTTTTCACGCCCATCATCTTCGCTTGTAGCTACGGATTGATTGATCACAGAGCTGGTACGTGCTGGTTTGATTCAGTGCATTATTAGCCTACTACAACCCATCATGGTGTTTTTTTTAAGGCTCCAATCCATCTCCGGACTTTGCAACCTGTCAGTTGTTTTGTCTTTCCAGTGTGTGAGCTGTCTGCAGCCCAGCTCCACTAATATTGAGCTTGCATATTAAAAAATAGCAGAAAGACTTTGCACTTCTTTTAGACGCTTCCATCCCAGCTTATTTACATCCTTCGTGTAGCTACGCAGAATAGCCGCGTTTGCCCAAGAGGGAGTGGTGTTTTTCACCTGCTATATTGGAGCTTTAAAACTGGTGGAACAAGAGGGATCAAATAATTGTTTTGATCATGTTTAGCACAGGCTGTTACAGCGTGTTCTCAAGACGCCCTACATTTATAGCTTTCGCGTTAATATTTATTTTGTACGTGATCATTTTTTTTCTTGTGATCTTGGCACAGTGGTCATTCCATATTGGGTTTTGGATGATAAAAAAACTTTGTGTGACAGGAAATAAATATCACACCAATAGGCCTGGTCTATCGGGCTGTCATAAACACTAAATAGAGGCGTGCAGTGGGCTTGCAGGTGCCACGTCTACACTCATGAAAAACTAACAGGACATGTTTGACTCGATTAGAAAAAAAAAAGGTGTTTTATTTTCGGTCATCCCTCCTCCCCCCGGAGACGCAGGCTGCAAGCAGAAATTCACTTGGAAAACGGCGCTTCCCCAATGTTTCAGCACCTCTGGGCTGGACAGCGCTCACTCTGTTCTGTAGCATCCCAGCGTCCCACCCACAGCACTGCATGGGCGTCATTGGAGCAAAGAGCAAAAACTGCAACATGCCAACGAATAAATTAAACCAAGGAACCTAGAACCACAGTGCGTGTCCTATATGCATGCATTTTTTCGTCCTTGAGATCTTTATACAATTATTTTGATAGCCAAAGCCATTTCTCACACTTTATGTATATAAACTTAAACGTTATGATCCTGTTTATATCATGAAAAATTTAGATTATTGTTATAATCCAAGTATCCAGGTATACATTTCTTCAGAAACATAAGCTAAATGTTTCAATCTGCAAGCTGGTAAAGTCATGAGTCATCTGTACATGTGTTCAACTGCTTATTCTTTTTTTTTTTTTTAGAAAAATATACTTTTCAAAAAAAGTGACCACCATGTTAGATTTCATTTGATTTGGTGTCAGAGAAAGCCAAAAGAAAAGATTTAAACTTAACTTTGTTGTGTAATTTCTGTCTTGCTGATTAACCTTGCTAATAAGGTGCTGGTGATTTAGTTGATATCATCAGGTTTCTTTTTAGTGACTGTTTGAGATTATGACAACAAAAACTAAGCCAGGGCTCTGTTTCTTGCATTGCTAATATGGGTGAGTCATCGCAGTAATTCCCATCTGCTCACAAAGGCCTTTTTAGTTTATTCATGATGGGCTGTTTTAACTTGATTCAGAGTACAGGCTGATCCTACTGAAGAAAACTTTGGTGACGCTACATATGAACACATGTGCTCCACACATTTCCCTTAACTGTGAAGTTTTCCTTTTTACATATAAACCCCTTAATATTCAATTTCCCCTATTATTTTAGGTATTGGATTTTTTTCATATTTTCCCAAAAGATTTCTCCCTGACTGCAGGTTTACTGGTGGCTACAACGGTTTCTGAGAAAATAGCATGGAAGGCAGATCTTTCAGTTTTTGGGCTTCTCTTTTGAAAACAAAGAAGCACCGAGACAGAACAGAGACCTGTCATAAAGCTGTCCCTTTCGATAAAGCCTACAGTTAGAGTGACTTTAGTTATCCTGAACTTTTTCTGTAGCTATACTCTTATAAGCTTGGGCTACTTGAGGACTAATTTGACCATTTTTTTCCCACACTATTGATCTAAAACCTCCAATTTAGCATTATTAGAAATTACTGCAATATTTATGTTCTCTCTATTAATTTTCATCATTGAAGCAAGCTCAGACCTGGGTAATTTTCAGTTGTTTAACCTTCCTGGAGGGCTAGATGTTGGGCTACTGCTGTCAAGAACTTCCTGTTTTCATTGTATAGATAATTCACTTGGTCCTGTCTCTTAGTGGTTAACCCTTTCTCTTCTCTAGACATAGCCTTGGCTTTAGTGTGACTAATTTTAAATATTACTGTGACTAATTTTAAATATTCTCTTACATCCTTAAGTCTTAAAGGCTGGGTCAGAAGTGTTTCCCCTCTGGATGAAGATGAAGTCACTTTAGGAGCTACTAATTAGAAAGCTATTAACTTTAAATTTTTTTCTTTTTAGAAGAAATTACTTGGATCTGTGTTTTTGTGTGTGTGTGTGTGTGTGTGTGTGTGTGTTTGTGCACGCTCTATCTGCTCAATATCAATATCTGCTCACAGTCATGACAGATGACAGAGCCAGGTTATGCAGGAGGTTTCTGTATGTTAAACTTGGCATACACGTACGATTTTTTCAATCGTTGCATGAGCTACAGCTCACATCCAATCTACCTGCTCACACTGCACGTTTAAAAACCACATTGGACTCAACCCCGGAGAGAGCTGGCACTACTGGGACTGATCTATCCGGAAGCCAAGCTACCGTAGTAGAAGAGGAATATGAAGCTCACTACAGTGAAATGTGCTGCCTTGGCAATTTTGTGCTGAAAGCCCTAAAAAGAAAATGCGGCAACGTATTTAGACAAAGACGTGGCTGAGCAAACGTGGCTACTACGGTCTGTCAATTTTACAGAAAGAACTCAATTTCACCCACACCCCCGCCATGCTTCTGTGTTTTCATCTGAGAGGAAGAAGAAGAAGAAGAGTCTTTGTTTGCACATGTGCACTGAGCGATTTGCCCACGACGGTCGACTGAAAAATCAAACATGTTTGGTTTTCTCCTGACCTAACGATTCCTGATCAGGAGGTGGTCGCGAGAGGCTGATCACCCCTCCTTACCCCCTGTATACTACGAGACGCATGATCAGGCTGAAAGTCGGGCTGATCGGAAAATTCTCGTTAGACTGGAAAGTCGCCCCAAAAATCGCACAGTGTAAGCCGGACTTAAAAGAGGAGTTTTTTCTTTCAACTGTCACTGCATGCATGCTTATAATGAAGGATTGCTGAAAGGGCAAAAACACAACACAAGTAACCATCCACCATTAAAAAAAATTGTCATTCAAGAGGAGAAAATGTTTCAAGTCATTGATATAATGCCAACTGCCAAATGTTTTTATCAGTTTAAATGATAAACGGATATTGACTGCTTTTCTCTGCTTGAGTTGATTCAACTCAATTTATTTATCTTCTTTGTTGTAAAGTGCCTCGAAACTAAACTGAATTGGCCTCTAAAGAGATTTAGGATTGTTATAGTCTCATTAAGGATAAATTTAGATTTCTTCAATTATTGTGACTTTCTTTGCTCTTACTAGAAATCTACACAAACAAATAATGATAACATATTTAATAACAGTTTCAATTTAGATTATATTTTTCTTTCTATTTGGTATATTTGTTTCCTGTTTTTTATGCTTATTTATAATATTATTATGACATAAATACATAAGTATAAGTGTATAAATTGCATTGTATTGTAAACAATAATGAGCACCATTATGATAGAGGTGGAAATGCAATGACAGAACTACTGTCACTACTTCTATTAGTGTTAATAATCATAATGTGCACCATGCATGACAAAGGAGAGGCTAGAGGCTGAGACTTTGGTTTCAGCTTTACTGCTTTAGTCGTACCAAGAGTTTTCACAGAATATCAGATAGAACTCTAGCTGGAATTTCCTGCTTGATTGATGTTGGGTTGAGCTACTGTATGTGGCTAAAGAGTACTTCCAAAGTTATATAGGTGTTCAAATGTTTGATTTATCTAATGGATTCTTGTAGACCTGGGGGATAAATTGATCATATGATAACATTTTCTCTCTTTTTTTTTTTTTCTTTCACAAATTCACTTCTTGGGCTTCCATAGGTCAAAGTGACATCAGTTATTCACCTTTTGTATACATTTACATATACTGTAAATGTATACATATGGTTAAATGAAATAGTTCACTGCATAATACCACTAACATCTTTTACAGCTTGGTTTTAGTTGCACTTTGAATTTAGGTTAGCACCCAGAGAGTTTTAATTAAAGTGATTTAATAAACTGATTTGTCATTTTTCTTCATTAAACAACAGGATGAAAAATATCTAGACCTACTAGGCGATCTCCAGAGATCTACACAAGATCTCATAGTCATGACTAGTTTTCCACAATGCGTTTATAGTGTAAGTAATGATTTGATACAGACTTTTTTTTTTTTGCATGTAGAGTAATTGTACATTTTTATGTATTTTTTTTTTAGACACTACAATGAAAGAAAAGAACATCAACAGTAGTCCATAGTCCTGGCTGTTTGCATGCTTCCTCAACTCGAAATCATCATGGAAAAATCCTTGGATTTAAACAAAGCTGGCTCCCGGTCAACATCATCCCTTCCACCTGAGCCAGTGGACATCATCCGCAGTAAGTCCTGTTACCGTCGAGTCAGGCTGAATGTCGGAGGTCTCCCACATGAAGTCTTATGGCGAACCTTGGACCGCCTGCCACGGACTCGTTTGGGAAAACTGAGAGACTGCAACTCCCACGATTCTCTGATGGAGGTCTGTGATGACTACAACCTGGATGAGAATGAGTACTTCTTTGATCGACATCCAGGGGCCTTCACATCCATTCTGAACTTCTACCGCACGGGCAAGCTGCACATGATGGAGGAGATGTGTGCCCTGTCCTTCAGCCAGGAGCTCGATTACTGGGGCATCGATGAGATCTATCTAGAATCCTGCTGCCAGGCTAGATACCACCAGAAAAAGGAGCAGATGAACGAGGAGCTAAAGAGAGAGGCAGATAATATAAAAGATATAGAGGGAGAAGAATTTGACAACACCTGTTGTGCAGAAAAACGGAAGAAACTTTGGGATCTTCTGGAAAAGCCAAGCTCATCAGTCGCAGCAAAGGTAACTTGGAATTCCTTCTCATATCATTCTAATCCATGTTAAAGAAAACAAACTGACACATCTGCACAAACAGAAACAAGGGAATACGATATATCACAACACTTTAGTCAGTTTTTTATCCAGTTAGTTTTTCTGGGGGCGACAGTGTCGTTGGATGTAGGAGTTTGCCCTGAAATCGAAGGATTGATGGTTCAAGCCCCGACTCCGACTTTCATTGTCGTTGTGTCTTTGGGCAAGACACTTCACCTGCTTTGTTTACTGATGGTGGTCAGAGGGCCCGGTGGCGCCAGTGTACAGCAGCCTCGCTTCTGTCAGTGAGCCCCAGGGCTGCTGTGGCTACAATGTAGCTTGCCACCATCAGTGTGTGAGTGTGTGCGTGAATGGGTGAATGAATGTAGTGTAAAGCGCTTTGGTCAAGTCTCCTGACTTGAAAAAATGTGCTATATAAGTACATGCAATTTACCATTTACCATTCTGAGGTGAAATTACTTTCTGGCATTGCTTTCACATGCAGGGTTTATTGTTGAAAGTTTAGATTTGCATTAATCCACAAAAGTAATGACAATTGGTAGCAAAAGCCATACAATATTTGGCAGTTTAGAAGGTAATATGGTAAATCATTGATGGTTGGCTGATTTCAGTAAAAACAAATGAGGATGAGTGTGAGTATGCACATTACTATTCTTTGCTGTTATTTGAAGAATAGCATTGCAAATGTGGTTAATTTCAGTATTATAATTCCCAAAAAGAAATTCTCTTTTGATTATGATCTAAAACCAAAAATCAGTTTTTCAAGAAAATGGAATGGTACATAATGATAAAATGATTTTAAAAACTAAACATGGGATGTCTTTCACCACTTTTAACAAATAAGGTTATTTCTTAAAAAATGGCTTGCAGAGTTGTGAATTAATAAGATCATCTAAAGGAGAATGGAAATAAAACTGCTAGAAAAAAGGTGCACGAGGAATAGGGTAAAAGAATCCTTGAAGTAAAGTGTATTTAAAAGTTGACAAGAAGAGGATGATAGACACCGGACCCAGCAGTCCAGATCTGAAGCATCCTAGATTATGATAACCACTTAGTGGTGCAATACTGCAGTGGCAATCTAATTCACGCAAAAGAACCCCAAACAAACTTTTAGCACAATTACTGTACAGTTTGTGGACCTGCTCTTCAGCAGAGTGACATCTTGGTATTTAAAAACCTTTTTTATTATTCTTGGCTAATGTTTATACTTTCTGAGTAACTGAATTTAGGCTTTTCAGGACTGTAAACCATAGTCATCGAAATACCTGAAATAAGCACATGTATCACCATGCAATTAATTTAAGTGATAGTTTATACATGACCCAAACAGAATGGCTGACTGTAATGGAAATGATTTGCTCTTCAAAACTTCGTTTTTAAGAATAAATGAAGACAACTTGCAAGGTAATTACAGGAGACAGCACATGGCACATGGCAAGCATTAGGGAGTACACCAATAAAATAAAGTAAGGATGGAGAATGAGACTGGTTTCAGCTGAGCTTAATGAGGGAAAAGCTGTGGAATAGAGTCAAACAGGGAGACTGGTGGAGAGAAACAAATTAACAACAAACTATGGTAAAAACACAGATCCATGAGAAAAATAGCAAAATGCACAAAGAAGAGAACTTAAGAATTAGATAAGAAACTCTGCTGAAGAAAGGAACTATAATGCCAAAACCCCAGCAATGATAATTATCAACTGAATCATATAAGACCACGTTGATCATAATTATTATGACAATAAATTTATGATAATAAATTATTTAAAACACAAACAAAATGGAAACCTCTCAAGATTCATGTTAATATGAATTTTTGGAACAAATTTACTGCAATAAATGACCTTTTCACAAATCTCAAATTTTCTTAGATGCTGAAAAAAATAGCGACATTTTATAAGAGCAGCACATTAGAACAGGGATAAAACCAATTTGTCTGCATTCACATTTAGTTTTTGGACCAACAGCATCTTGGAATTGAATTCTCAGTATCCAATAACATCCTTGCTAAAAATGGCGGCATTTTCCTCACACTGATTGGACTGTCTCCAACGTGGGTCTCAGAATAGTTACTCTTTAACAGTGTGGACTGTTTGCATCAACCCTTCATTCGAAATAAGAGTTGCGTACAACTTGTACACTCTTAATGAAGTAATATGTTCAAGAACTAATCGTAAATATTAGTTTCACTCTGATTATTTAACTTTTGAATTATTCTGGATTTGATGTGTGACTCTAAACATATTTTTGAAAGCAGGAAAAAAAATCATCCTGCTGGCAAACTGTTTATGCACTTTAATGTGTTGGGGTGAAATAGTTGAATCCTGCTGCCAATACTGATGTTTACCAGTATCAGTGTGCTACACTGCCATGTTAGTTATATGCAGTTGCACAGGATTTTTCTCTTTGTCTTAATAAGATTGAGTAAGCTCTGCTGCTTTCAGACAGACATCCTCTCATCCTCAAAAAAACACTCCTCTGTTTTATATTTGATGTGAGTTCTTTTGCATGCTCTGAATTTACAATGTGCATGTAGGACATGTCTGACCTAAATGTGATTGAAATGCATTATAAACATGGTTCTACAGATGCATCAGTGTGTATGGCCGTCCTAAACTTGTTTTATGAAGCTAAGTATTACAATTTAGGAAAGAGCAGTTCCATAAGAATTCTATGATCTGAGCAGCAGTTAGGGTTTTTTCTAACCCTGTGTTCTCAAAGAACGCACCATTACCCCTATAATTCAACACATATACTATACATATTAACTGTGGAACAAACACATCACTTGTAGGAAAGAATACAATAACAGAAAATCTGCAGAACCTCTTCTGCAAGTAGATTGATTTTGTCATGGAACTTTTTTTTAATTACAATTTTCTTGAGCTCACAACCAACCACTAAATGTTAGGGACAACACATGTTCAACTTGAACATTCTCCACTGACAATGTTTACCAGTTTTTTCAGGTATTTGGTCCAAACATGCCCTGATTGCAATGCATTCTTTTGTAAAAGTTAGGGAAGGTTGCAGGAAATCAAGTGTGTCCAGCTCAATCGGGAAAGGGGTGTTCTACTTCAGGACAAATTGCGATCACTGATTATTACTTACATCATTTAGTAAAAGAAAATTTGATGAACCAGGTATAAATTCTAGGTATTTTATTCTAAAAATCCAATGACGCTGAGGAAGAAACCAAGCAGAGGAAAATTCAAGAAAATAGAGCTTAACAAGGTCATAAAGGATCAAGCAAAACCCAAAAACTAAAGACTAACACTACAACAAGAGTTTATACACAGAAAGGAAGGCACACACAACACAATACAAAAACTGAGTGTCAAACATTGTTTACAACAATTAACCACACAAGATAATCCATTGGTAAAACATAATGATAACTAAATTATAGACTCTAAGGAAAAAGGTTGAAAGACAAAAGTTTTTTTGTTTTTATAAATTTAAACAGAAATATCCTGGCCTTACTAAATTATCCCAAAGCTCTGTGGAAGAAACTGTTACCATCTAGAAACTTTCTCGAAAAGAACAAATACACAGTTAAATACAGCAGTGGTTATTAAAGTTATTTATTTATTTATAATTTTCAGACTTTTTCAGAAGTTAAACAGCTTTTTAATTAAAAGGACAACTAGGGCTGAAACAATTAATCAGATTAATCATGATTAATCCATTATTGAAATAATTATCAAATAAATTAGTAATTGATTAAACATTAACTGGAATATAGAGACTCTAAAGCATGCCTTTAACTGAGAGAGAAACCCACTTAGACCAGTAAGTATACTAATATTGTAAAAAAATATATCAAAATTTTGCATTTAGGATTAAAACAAAAAATTGTCTGTCAATATCTAGAACTATTCAAGGGTAAAAGTTTTAGCTTCCCCTGGTTTAATTAGGTGAAATAACCTTCTTTAAGGAATCTTTGGCTATCTGATTAATAATCAAAATAATAATCGACAGATTAATCGATTTGCAAAATAATGGTTAATTGCAGCCCTACTGACAACACATGGCACATACCCCATTATATGTAGGGTATCACACAAATATGATAACCCATTTTTTAATGGGTTCAATTTTAAATGTTATTATTCTTATTGTTGTTGTTCTTGTTGATATTATTTCTACAAGCTTATGCTGATAATCTCCTGATATAAACAGAATCCTGCATCATTGATAATGTAAACTCAGAAATTCTCACTCTCTGTTTTTATAGTCAAAAAACTTATCTTGACTGTGTGGATGTGCAGCTATTAGCCATCTTAATTACCATCTTATCAAAACACAATATAAAAACCATTATCTGTATCTCCTGTAACAGTTATAACGAACCTTAATCAGCATGCTTTTATAAAATGAAGATGAATTCATGTCTTCCATACCTAACTATTGGTATGCTCACAGAAACCCATGAAGATGTATAGCAGTAGCGACTGGTGGAGTTTTTTCCGGGGGGGCTATAAATTCAAAATAGATATATACCAAAAAACATTTAAAAAGTATGCTAAGATATCACACCAGTATATTTATATATATATATATATATATATATATAGCCACATTGTCCTGTCAATCATCTGCAAAATGTCTGCACTGTTGCGGGAGGTGGTGAGCAAATGCACTTACTGTCAGCACCAGAGCGGTGCCCTGAGCTCTCCTAAACCTTTGTATTGAAGAGGACCTGCTGGAAAACTTTTAAAGAGAGTCATTGGGCAAAGATTTTTGCGCCCTAGGGCGGAAATACATCACCAATCAAACAAATATTTTTATCACGCTTTACTAGTCATTTAAGATTAAATATGTATCTTGCACATCTAAACAATACATATTAATATATTTCTAAATATTTTAGATGTTAATTTTAAATTAAATTATAAAATTGTAAATATATATATATATTTTCTGTATGTCTCTATAAGGGTCATTGGGTGGGTGGGGCGGCGCCCTAG